TAAAAGAATTGTTTTAGAGGGGTATGAATGAGAAATTAATTCAATAATTCGTAATAAAATAAAAACTACGAATCGACATATATATATATAAAATGAACAAAATATGAAGATATTATAGATCTTAATATAATTAATAATAGACAGATTTCATTTTGTAATTCAAGTCCCATAATTTGAAAATAAGCTTTAACATTCCAAGCTATTTAATTTGATTTAAATTAATTGTTGATTAAAATTATAGCTTATGCATATATTTATGAAATTATTTCTAGAGTACAAGATTGGAATGAATTATGATTTTCAAATAATTTATTTTTTCTTCTTTACAAAATGAAGCCTTTATAGTGATTAGATCACAGACAATGAAGATTGGCCAAATGAAGAGCATAATGATCTCATTAACAAAATATATTTTATATTACTCCAATATATATTAATTAATTAAAAGTATTCTAAATTATACCAGTATATTTCAAATATATTGAATCAATAAAATGGAACTATTTTATTGACTCAATATATTTGAAATATATTAGCATAATATTAAATACTTTTAAGTAATTAATATATATTGGAATAATTTTAAATATATTTTGCTGATAAACACAAATAAATATATAATACATGATAATATATTAATATAATAAATATTAAGAAATATATATAAATAAATTTATATATATTTTATTTTATTTAATGAATAATGATTTTTAACTCATGCTAGTTATGCTGCATTAACTTTATTGCAAGTATCTTCTAATAAAGCTAAAAGTGTTTCTTCAGTTGATTCTCTAAATAATAATAATAATAATATAAGTACCTTTATTTTTTTTCATTATCTACTTCAGTTTTAATTCTATTGACAACATCTTTTAACATATCAAAAATTGCTTATTCTGATTCTTATCTATTTACTTTCTCTTAGACCAATAATTAATTCAATTTGCTTAATTCTTCATTCATTTTTCTTGATATATTAGAATCCATTTCTTCTCTTTCTGCTACTTCTGTCTTTATAGCTTCATGTAATCTTGGTAAATCAGTTTCTAAACATTAATTTAATCTTTCAATATTCTCATTTCTTGTTCTACTTTCTGTACTTAATTCACTTCTTATTAATCCTGTCTTCTCTTCTATAAATCTTATTATTTTTTATTCTCCATCTTTTCTTGTTGATGTTAATCCTTCAACTGCCTAATTGAATGAATTTTCTAAATCTATATATTCCTTTTGTTTCTATTCAAAATGTTATTCTCTTTATAATTTTGTTTAATCCAAAACTTTCTATAATTTCAATACACTATCTTTAATCAAGGCAACTCTTTAACTTAATTATTCATTTAATTCATTTAATCCAGATTCTAATTAATCTAATCTAGTCTCTGATTCTTCTATTCTTTTTGTCTAAATATTAATAATTATATATATTACTCTCTCTCCTTCAATTGTTAAATCCATTTAACTTAATTAAGAACTTATTTTTGCTACTCTCTCTCTTGATGGTGAATAATCTAATCTATTTTACTATACATTACTTCTATTATTTGACATATCTAACTGATTATTTGAATAAAAAGATAATATTAATATAAATAAATTTATTGTTAATNAAATGTTCAAATTTATATTATCTATATTATATTCATATTCCTTAAATTTTTTCAATAATAATTTAATGCTTTAAGAATAGTCTTTGCAAAATATCCATTCTTAATTAATATTTGGTAATGTTTTTAATTATTACTCATACAATGCTATTTGTAAAGTTTTTTGTAAAGAAATTCCACTAAAAGTAATAACTGATATGATCAGGGTTGCAGAATGATTCTAAATAATTTTAGTATCGCGATTTAAGGAATAGGAAGTTAAAAGAATTGTTTTAGAGGGGTATGAATGAGAAATTAATTCAATAATTCGTAATAAAATAAAAACTACGAATCGACATATATATATATAAAATGAACAAAATATGAAGATATTATAGATCTTAATATAATTAATAATAGACAGATTTCATTTTGTAATTCAAGTCCCATAATTTGAAAATAAGCTTTAACATTCCAAGCTATTTAATTTGATTTAAATTAATTGTTGATTAAAATTATAGCTTATGCATATATTTATGAAATTATTTCTAGAGTACAAGATTGGAATGAATTATGATTTTCAAATAATTTATTTTTTCTTCTTTACAAAATGAAGCCTTTATAGTGATTAGATCACAGACAATGAAGATTGGCCAAATGAAGAGCATAATGATCTCATTAACAAAATATATTTTATATTACTCCAATATATATTAATTAATTAAAAGTATTCTAAATTATACCAGTATATTTCAAATATATTGAATCAATAAAATGGAACTATTTTATTGACTCAATATATTTGAAATATATTAGCATAATATTAAATACTTTTAAGTAATTAATATATATTGGAATAATTTTAAATATATTTTGCTGATAAACACAAATAAATATATAATACATGATAATATATTAATATAATAAATATTAAGAAATATATATAAATAAATTTATATATATTTTATTTTATTTAATGAATAATGATTTTTAACTCATGCTAGTTATGCTGCATTAACTTTATTGCAAGTATCTTCTAATAAAGCTAAAAGTGTTTCTTCAGTTGATTCTCTAAATAATAATAATAATAATATAAGTACCTTTATTTTTTTTCATTATCTACTTCAGTTTTAATTCTATTGACAACATCTTTTAACATATCAAAAATTGCTTATTCTGATTCTTATCTATTTACTTTCTCTTAGACCAATAATTAATTCAATTTGCTTAATTCTTCATTCATTTTTCTTGATATATTAGAATCCATTTCTTCTCTTTCTGCTACTTCTGTCTTTATAGCTTCATGTAATCTTGGTAAATCAGTTTCTAAACATTAATTTAATCTTTCAATATTCTCATTTCTTGTTCTACTTTCTGTACTTAATTCACTTCTTATTAATCCTGTCTTCTCTTCTATAAATCTTATTATTTTTTATTCTCCATCTTTTCTTGTTGATGTTAATCCTTCAACTGCCTAATTGAATGAATTTTCTAAATCTATATATTCCTTTTGTTTCTATTCAAAATGTTATTCTCTTTATAATTTTGTTTAATCCAAAACTTTCTATAATTTCAATACACTATCTTTAATCAAGGCAACTCTTTAACTTAATTATTCATTTAATTCATTTAATCCAGATTCTAATTAATCTAATCTAGTCTCTGATTCTTCTATTCTTTTTGTCTAAATATTAATAATTATATATATTACTCTCTCTCCTTCAATTGTTAAATCCATTTAACTTAATTAAGAACTTATTTTTGCTACTCTCTCTCTTGATGGTGAATAATCTAATCTATTTTACTATACATTACTTCTATTATTTGACATATCTAACTGATTATTTGAATAAAAAGATAATATTAATATAAATAAATTTATTGTTAATGGTTTATCAATGTATAAGTTAATATATTATAAAATCACGAAACCTAATTAATAACGTTACTGCATTAGCAGATTATTGTTTTTTTACAATAGTTCTTACTTTCTCAATTTATTGAATATCTCTTGCAAAAGAATCTTGATTCATTCGATTTTGCTCGTAAGAGTATATTATTTTATAATATAATAAAGGCTTTTGTAAGAAATTAACATTTAAATGCCTTTTTATAATTTTTTATTTAGAGTTTTTTAGGTTCACTTATGTTGTTAATCATCCATATAATCACAATTAACTCTATATCATTTATTTACTTAATCATTTAATTGAAATTTTTTCAGATTAATTTCTATTCAACTTATTTGGTTGTTTTAATGATTAAAATCAGTATTTGATTAATTTATTTAATCATTATCTTTAAGATCTATTATTTTTAAAAGAAATCCCACACTGCGCTAGTCTTACAAAAGATTTATAAACTTCCACCATCAGACTATCCAATTTAAAATACTATATAATTAATCCCCAACAATAACTAAATTGATGTTGTACCTAAGCATTTCCTTTTAAGCATGTAAAAATCCTTATAGAATTATGACAATGTGAGTTGAATCTATTTTCTGCAATCTTTTCTTTTTGTAATTTTATATAAACCCCTAAATTTCATATTGCACAATTGTCTAGCTACAGAATTTTATTTTGAATAAATATTTCACTTTACTCTAAATAGATTTTTTAAGTTGATTAAGAAAATTATCTGGTGATTGAACATGATAATGTAAATAATTGTTATTTTTATGAATGATAATATTTAGTGGTAACTTAGTTAAGACGTAATTTTTAGAAAAAAATTTTGGATTATGTCTTTACATTTAAAAGGATAGACTAAATCACTTGTTTAAATTCATTTGAAAAGACTTGAAAACACTTATAACAATAGAGAGCAAACTAGAACTAAGAAAACAAAAAATAATTATACTTAATATCAAAAATTAAATTTTGAAAAATTTATATAAATCCTGTTCTTGTTATGAGAACAGGGCAAGTAAAATTAGATTTGTTTGGAAAAATTACAAGAAATATGGAAGAAGGATACATAATTGGATAAAGTTTCAAATAAGATTTTATGTTAAATTTTAAATTGTTATTTGAAAGATATTTAATAAATTAAAATAGGATGATTTAAGTTAGGGAGTTTGGTTCCTAAAAGAAATTGTTATTATTTGGTCTTAAAAAAAAAATAATGAAGAAAAAGTAAAACTTTTTAGTTGATTTAACAGTATAATTTCTGAAAACTATTTACAAAATCTAATATTTTTCTTATATATGAATAATAAATGATATTTTTTTTTAATTTAAGCTATTTCTTATGATTTGGAAGAATTTTCCAATATTTACTTTTAAAAATAAATCAAACTATTTATCAATTAAATGGCTATTGAGGAAGATACAGAAAGCAGAATATTTTATTTGATAAATATTATAATCAGTATGTGTTCCAATTTTATCTTAACACAAGTTCAATATCTTTTCACTTATTATTCAAAGATTTTTCCACAATAAAATTTAATTTTTTTAATTAATCTTGTATGTTTCTTTTATATGTCTGTTCAAAAGATAATGGAGTTATTTTTTTCTCCTTTTCTTTGCCAAAATTATTCTCCCTTTCTTTTGACTTTGATTTTGATTTAGATTGAGTTAGATCAATTGATCTTCTTCTTTTTTCTACTGTTGCTTTTGTTTACTTTAAATGAATTTTTTATTTTGGTTTGAATAATCTAATTATTATTTAATAATTACTATTTCTTATGCTTTTCAAAAAGTAAATTAAAGTCTTTTTATATTTAGATATTAGCATTTTAATTATTATTATTATATTTTTACATCATAATAATACTTTCCTCACTTTCTAAATCTTCATTTTAATTATAATTTTGTTTATTTGGACATATCTGAAATTATAGTTAAGAATTTGACTATTATTGCTGTTATTATTACTATTCTGATTATTATTATAACTCAGATGAATTCAATTATCTTTATGTTTATTACTATTGTTATTCTCCATTCAAAAGTTATAAAAGATCTAAATTAATTTATTTTTGTTCATTCAATTCTTGCCTAATTAGGGATAATTATTAATTCATTGATTCTTAAATTTATTAATTGATCTAATATAAATTCTAGAGTGGAGATGGATCTGGCTCTTCTTCAAGATGAACTATTTTTTTTTTTAAATCATTTTAAAGTATTTAATTATGTAATTGCATTAATGTATTCAATTAATTTGATACTTCATCTCTATTACTAACTAACATATCCTATTCTCTAGATAAATTCTAAGCAAATATAATATGAATGTATACTTGTAATTGTGTTTGTAATTAATTTTTTTCAAATGATAATTATTACAATTCTAATAAAAAGTTAGTCCTTTTTTCTTCCTCTTCTTATATCAGTTTTTCGCTTTGCTCTTGAATATCAAGTAATTTTTCTTCTTATTCTTTAAGAATTGAAATTTTTTATTCATTTAATCTTCGTTATTCTTCTATTTCCAAAGTTCTTAATAATGATTCCAATTCGAATTTTGCTTATTATTATTCCCTTAACAAATTAATTTATTCTTATTCAAGTATTTATTATTCTCTATTAAGATGATCTAATTTTGATGATAACATGGTATTTTTATCATCATCAAAACTTTCTAACTTTTGAGTTAACAATTATAAAATTGGATTAGAAAGGTTTAACTTTTGTGGAGACTGTTTTGGTATTGATTTTGCTTATGAGGAATGTAACTATGAATTTTCAGTTTGATTAAGTTTTTTCATTCTTTATTCAAATTCTTATAATTCTCTTTCCAATTCTTATTTACTTTTGAGATTTGAATCTCTTGAATTAGGATAGATACTAGGTCCATTATTTTAGTCAAGAATTGAAAGTTTGTGTTCGAGCTAATTAATTAATTAATGAGTTTTTGATAACTTGAATTTGGATCTATTTTCATCTTCTGATTCTTCATCGCTCATTTGAAAATCAAATTAATAATAATGAATTTTTTATTCAATTTTAATATAAATTAATTAAATGATCGATAATCTGATAATATTAAGAATACAAAATTATAAGTATAATACAAAGGGATATTCATTTGAAGAATTAAAGAAGTTGCCTAATTTCAGTATAATAACATCAAAGAATAAAATCTATTTTGGATAAGTATTCAATGGTCTTAAACATGGAAGAGGAGTATTATTAATGGAAGAGGATCATGTTTATGAAGGAGAATTCAATAATAATCGTAAACATGGTCAAGGTTGGGAAGTTTTTCCATCTAAATCAAATTATAAAGGACTTTATGTTAATGGTAAACCAGAAGGTCAAGGGAAATTTACTTGGGCAAATGGAGAATATTATGAAGGAGAATGGTTCAATGGTAATAAACATGGATATGGAACTTGGATGGGTTTAAAGGGTGATATGTATACTGGATATTGGATTGATGGAAAACCTAATGGTAGAGGTTAGCATAAATGGATTAATGGAGATTAATATAAAGGAGAGTTTAAAGATAGTTTAAAGCATGGCTTTGGTGAAGAACTATTTACAAATGGAGACAGGTATGTAGGAATGTATTAAAATGGAAAACCTGAAGGAGATGGAGAATATTTTTATTCTAGTGGAGCATATTTTCATGGGAAATTTTAAAATGGTCTTAAAACTGGCTATGGAGAATATAGATGTTCGACATACTCTTATAAAGGATACTATGTGAATGATAAAAAACATGGAGAAGGTGAGTTAATTTATTCAGATGGAACTAAAAAATAGGGAAAGTTCTTTAACGATTTCTATGAAAAAACAGTTCCAAGGTAATCCAGTGTCCCTAGTAATACGCAACCGAGTAATACTCCACCTAAAAATTATTAAGAAATAATGAGAGCTTGTCTAAAGCCTCCTTCTTACTTATCTTCTACTAAACCTAATCCTAAAAAATAATAACCCTCTCCCCTAAATAAAACAGTTATTGTCTAAAGAAATAAGCTAGACTTTAATTGTTTAGAAAAGCCAAATAAAAATATTTAATTATAATCTGACAGACAAAATTCAAAAAGAGAATTTTAAGAAAGAGACATTAATCGTAAATCATAAGATAAACATGTTTTGTAAAAAAAAACTACAAATAATGTACAAAGTAATAAATCTTCACCTAAAAACCAATAAACAATATATAAATAAACTAGTAGAAGACCAAAAGAATAGTCATTTAGATTTGATACAACAAAAATAAATTTTATTACAAAAACAGGATTAAAAGGAAAATAAAGCTTTAAATATAGAAGTTACTCTAAATATGATTGATTAATATATTACTAATTAAAATATATCAACTTGAATATTTTTTTCTAATTTATAATTTCCTAATTAAGTTCTTAATTTATTTATCAAACATGATAAATAATACCCCTTGTAACTACTAATAAAATATATTGATTCTTTTATAGTTCCTTTTAATCTTAATGTATTTTAATAAATATGTAAAATAGTTTGAAAAAAGTTATAATTGCGAATCAGAAAAACAATATTTAAGATTAATAGAAAATTCTTTATAATTAGTTTATATATTAATAGTAAAATAGATTTCATTAATGAGAAAACTTTAAATTTTTTTGTTATTGTATCTAATTTTCAAAATAGTTCAATATGTGATAAAACTTTTCATAACGTTAGTATTCTGTTGATAATTATAATTTCATATTTAATGTAACAGTTAATTAACTTCTAAATTTACATTTAGGTGTTTTTAATTAAACTGTTTACTATAGAATAATGATTTTGACAAATTAACTCATTAAGTATGATATTTTAGCAAAATAAATTAACAATAAATTTATTTATATTAATATTATCTTTTTATTCAAATAATCAGTTAGATATGTCAAATAATAGAAGTAATGTATAGTAAAATAGATTAGATTATTCACCATCAAGAGAGAGAGTAGCAAAAATAAGTTCTTAATTAAGTTAAATGGATTTAACAATTGAAGGAGAGAGAGTAATATATATAATTATTAATATTTAGACAAAAAGAATAGAAGAATCAGAGACTAGATTAGATTAATTAGAATCTGGATTAAATGAATTAAATGAATAATTAAGTTAAAGAGTTGCCTTGATTAAAGATAGTGTATTGAAATTATAGAAAGTTTTGGATTAAACAAAATTATAAAGAGAATAACATTTTGAATAGAAACAAAAGGAATATATAGATTTAGAAAATTCATTCAATTAGGCAGTTGAAGGATTAACATCAACAAGAAAAGATGGAGAATAAAAAATAATAAGATTTATAGAAGAGAAGACAGGATTAATAAGAAGTGAATTAAGTACAGAAAGTAGAACAAGAAATGAGAATATTGAAAGATTAAATTAATGTTTAGAAACTGATTTACCAAGATTACATGAAGCTATAAAGACAGAAGTAGCAGAAAGAGAAGAAATGGATTCTAATATATCAAGAAAAATGAATGAAGAATTAAGCAAATTGAATTAATTATTGGTCTAAGAGAAAGTAAATAGATAAGAATCAGAATAAGCAATTTTTGATATGTTAAAAGATGTTGTCAATAGAATTAAAACTGAAGTAGATAATGAAAAAAAATAAAGGTACTTATATTATTATTATTATTATTTAGAGAATCAACTGAAGAAACACTTTTAGCTTTATTAGAAGATACTTGCAATAAAGTTAATGCAGCATAACTAGCATGAGTTAAAAATCATTATTCATTAAATAAAATAAAATATATATAAATTTATTTATATATATTTCTTAATATTTATTATATTANTAATCTTAATGTATTTTAATAAATATGTAAAATAGTTTGAAAAAAGTTATAATTGCGAATCAGAAAAACAATATTTAAGATTAATAGAAAATTCTTTATAATTAGTTTATATATTAATAGTAAAATAGATTTCATTAATGAGAAAACTTTAAATTTTTTTGTTATTGTATCTAATTTTCAAAATAGTTCAATATGTGATAAAACTTTTCATAACGTTAGTATTCTGTTGATAATTATAATTTCATATTTAATGTAACAGTTAATTAACTTCTAAATTTACATTTAGGTGTTTTTAATTAAACTGTTTACTATAGAATAATGATTTTGACAAATTAACTCATTAAGTATGATATTTTAGCAAAATAAATTAACAATAAATTTATTTATATTAATATTATCTTTTTATTCAAATAATCAGTTAGATATGTCAAATAATAGAAGTAATGTATAGTAAAATAGATTAGATTATTCACCATCAAGAGAGAGAGTAGCAAAAATAAGTTCTTAATTAAGTTAAATGGATTTAACAATTGAAGGAGAGAGAGTAATATATATAATTATTAATATTTAGACAAAAAGAATAGAAGAATCAGAGACTAGATTAGATTAATTAGAATCTGGATTAAATGAATTAAATGAATAATTAAGTTAAAGAGTTGCCTTGATTAAAGATAGTGTATTGAAATTATAGAAAGTTTTGGATTAAACAAAATTATAAAGAGAATAACATTTTGAATAGAAACAAAAGGAATATATAGATTTAGAAAATTCATTCAATTAGGCAGTTGAAGGATTAACATCAACAAGAAAAGATGGAGAATAAAAAATAATAAGATTTATAGAAGAGAAGACAGGATTAATAAGAAGTGAATTAAGTACAGAAAGTAGAACAAGAAATGAGAATATTGAAAGATTAAATTAATGTTTAGAAACTGATTTACCAAGATTACATGAAGCTATAAAGACAGAAGTAGCAGAAAGAGAAGAAATGGATTCTAATATATCAAGAAAAATGAATGAAGAATTAAGCAAATTGAATTAATTATTGGTCTAAGAGAAAGTAAATAGATAAGAATCAGAATAAGCAATTTTTGATATGTTAAAAGATGTTGTCAATAGAATTAAAACTGAAGTAGATAATGAAAAAAAATAAAGGTACTTATATTATTATTATTATTATTTAGAGAATCAACTGAAGAAACACTTTTAGCTTTATTAGAAGATACTTGCAATAAAGTTAATGCAGCATAACTAGCATGAGTTAAAAATCATTATTCATTAAATAAAATAAAATATATATAAATTTATTTATATATATTTCTTAATATTTATTATATTAATATATTATCATGTATTATATATTTATTTGTGTTTATCAGCAAAATATATTTAAAATTATTCCAATATATATTAATTACTTAAAAGTATTTAATATTATGCTAATATATTTCAAATATATTGAGTCAATAAAATAGTTCCATTTTATTGATTCAATATATTTGAAATATACTGGTATAATTTAGAATACTTTTAATTAATTAATATATATTGGAGTAATATAAAATATATTTTGTTAATGAGATCATTATGCTCTTCATTTGGCCAATCTTCATTGTCTGTGATCTAATCACTATAAAGGCTTCATTTTGTAAAGAAGAAAAAATAAATTATTTGAAAATCATAATTCATTCCAATCTTGTACTCTAGAAATAATTTCATAAATATATGCATAAGCTATAATTTTAATCAACAATTAATTTAAATCAAATTAAATAGCTTGGAATGTTAAAGCTTATTTTCAAATTATGGGACTTGAATTACAAAATGAAATCTGTCTATTATTAATTATATTAAGATCTATAATATCTTCATATTTTGTTCATTTTATATATATATATGTCGATTCGTAGTTTTTATTTTATTACGAATTATTGAATTAATTTCTCATTCATACCCCTCTAAAACAATTCTTTTAACTTCCTATTCCTTAAATCGCGATACTAAAATTATTTAGAATCATTCTGCAACCCTGATCATATCAGTTATTACTTTTAGTGGAATTTCTTTACAAAAAACTTTACAAATAGCATTGTATGAGTAATAATTAAAAACATTACCAAATATTAATTAAGAATGGATATTTTGCAAAGACTATTCTTAAAGCATTAAATTATTAT